AGGAGACCTTGACAGGCTCTTTCTTTTGGGCTGTAGGCGCAGGTTCCGCCACAGCTTTCCCTATTAGAACTTCTTTTTGTCGTGGTCTATTTCGTACCATCTTAGCCCAGGTGCTTGATATAAGATCGTCTGGGACAGCAGGTAGTTTTTGGCTCCTGACGCTGGAACTCTTGCAGAATTGTTTGCTGTATGAGGAAGAAGGACGGGCAGCGAAGTGGCCGCACCCGTAGCCATGTGTTGCGAAATGACAGCGCGTAGGTAATTTCTCATTGTTACTATTGGATTTTGTTGTGATCAGGCTCACTTATAAATCACACAACTTGAACTGGCTAGTATTAGGCAAGTGTAACCGACAGGACAAGCGATCCTGTGTCAATGGTACGTCATCGGCGCACAGCACTGACAGCACCAGTATCTCAGCCATACATGACAATATGATAATATGACGCAGGTATATCTAAAGACATAATTGTTGAATGGCTGAATGGTTGGGAGTTATTGCTATTGATGGTATATTTTGTGTACCGTCTTTGTGCATAAATACTCGCTGCTAGACCTCTGTACATGATTAACCTTTTCCACTGGGGGACTATTCTCAACACCTGTCAGTGGTGTCCCCTACGAACCTCCAGCTCTCACTGTAGAGTCTGCAGAGCCGAGATTGAGTAACAAAGTCCTCACTCCGACGAGGATTCCCAATCGCTTTCGCGGTCTGTATCGTCTTCATCTCTCAACACATTCCCCTATCACCATTATCATGAAGCTAATCACAATCAGATCAGATGGTAGGGTTGGAGCCCTACTCGTCACCCACCCTTGATCATGGAGTAAAAGCCATCCGATGAGTTTCCGGAGCGTACCCAGCACCCCATACGGAGATGGTGGACTGAATCAAGTCGACCTCGACTGTTACAAAGAAGGGAGATATAGATGAATATGCGCACCTCATGTGGTCCCGGTGTCTAGGCCTCGCCTGGCCGGGACTGCAGGTTTTTTGAGACTTTTTCCCGCGCACGCAGTTTCCATTGCTACCATTTTTATTTTTTTTGGGTAGAAGGTTCCGTGGAAAAGGTGGCTGAATTCCACGGGTAAACACTGAGCTGAATGGCTATTCATCAAGGGGAATATATCAATGATCTTTCAAGTAACAAAAGAGGATAGGAGCACTGTACAAGGTGTGGCCTGGGTCAGAGAGGAGCCCAATGTGCTAGATAGTCATAGACTCAAGTAGTACAATAAAACACACACAAAAAACCTTTTCCACTCTTATTTTCAATAGTCATCAATATAGCAGATCTACAGTATATATCTGTCTTCTTCACGTTAGACTTAAAGTGCTATCTTATATCCACACAAGTTGACTGTTACACCCATTGTGACATTTCTTAGACTTCTCATAACCTCATTAATACAATATTTTTATTTATTTATTTATTTATCTTTATTTAACGTCTGGCGGATCACGCGTCAAGCGAGTAACCCTATTAAGTCCCTACTGAGACAAAAGACGCCAGGATTTAATCTCTGGGCTTCTACATGTTTTAAAGGAAAGCAAAAAAACAAAATTAAACTATTTAACATATAAAGGAGGTGCATTCACATAGCTACTTCCCGCAGTTTGTTAGGCTCTTATTTGTGGTGGTAAGATACTTGCTCGGCGCCATTCTCTGCGCAGGTCAACCCACACTCCCTGTTGACCTCCACTACCGGAAAAATAAATTAGAAAAAAAAGGAGTCTAAATTGCTTATCTTCCTTCCTTCGTTTGCTGGTTTTTCGCGACACTTGAAACCTCAAGATTATGGGCAGATATCTGTGAAGAATCGGGTTTCCAGTAGCCATTCTCCAAATCTTTGACCTCCTTCATATGTGCCAAGAATGAACGGGATCATTTCCGAAGGCGGACCCTGCATTAGTCGTGATCTTCTTTTCGCTATATGACAGAAAAAGCAATGTAGTGGGGCCTTACGACGGCCACATCGGCAGTAATTTGATGCATTTTCATGATTGAACCGCTCGTGATAGTCAGCGAAGTCGCCGTGCCCAGATCTAGCTGCTAGAATTCGACCTAGAGTGGCGCGCGGAAGGGCAAGTTCTTTTGGCCTAGTGGGTGCTGATATTATTCCTAGCTTTTCGTAGCCTAGGTGCTGGGGAAGGAGATTTCTCCAGAGGTTGCGAGAGGCTTGCGTTGTTGACTCTTTTGCCCAGCGCTTTAGCCCCGCATATGTGAAAGCGACGTCATCTGGAGTTGGTAACTGGCAGCCATCTTTCGCTGCTTTGTCCGCAGCTTCATTTCCAACTATCGATGCGTGACTCGGGACCCATCGGACCCGGATTTGGCCCCGTCTAGTGTGGGCCAGCCGTGAGCGGTCTTGCCATTTGGGATTTAAGGTGAGGAACTCGTCAAATTGCGCTTGTGAGGACCCTGAAAAGGGGAATAACAGTCGAGTGGCAACTTCCAGATTATCTAGACAAATCCATAGATCTGTCGCGAATTTGGCAGTTGGGAGTGCTAGTGCGGACTTTGTCCCCTCTAGGGCACCTTTTACTTCCGCATCGAAAACTTCGACACCTTTTCCAAGGGCAAGACTTTGATGCAAGACTTGTACGCCTCCTTGGTATCCGATGAAGCCAGCGCCGCTCAAGCCGTTTAGTTGCTTAGAGCCATCCGAGTAGATAATGATGTCTCCGAAGGGGATGGTCGTAAGAAAGTCAAGGAAGGACTGTTTGTTTTCCTCTGTAGTGGTACTGTTCGAACCAGCCACCCGAGATTGTGCAGCTTCACGGCTCTCACGTGGATTCCAAGGAGGAATAGCGATTGCATTGATTTGCTCTGATCTGGGGAGTGAAAGTACACGTCGGGCAAATCGAGAGGTAGCACGCTGTGAGCTGAGAACTCTTTTAGCACGGCGTAAGAGCGGGTGTCGAGGATCCAGACGGCGTAGTCGGACGGCGGCTGCAAGTGCACGGCCATCAAGGGCTATTTCCGGCTGCTGTAGCCCTGATTCGCGATGAAGTATCGCTGTTGGTGTGGTGCGATACACTGGAAGTGTCGCTCGGGCAGAGGCAAGCACGACCTTGGAGAGCTGTTGTAGTAGGGAATCTACACGGTTTGATATGCGTCCCGTGGGACCTTGTCTAGATCTGCCTGGCCACCAGGATTCTGAGGCGTAGTAAAATATGGGGAGGACACATGAATCTACTGCACGACGCAGTAGATGAGGAGGAGCCCCTCTTGTTGTATTACCAAGGGATGACAGAGCATGGCTAACCTTGAGGGCCTTTGAGGCGAGGGTTCGAGCGTGCCACTTAAAGGAGAGCTTTTTATCAAAGAGTACTCCAAGCCAGCGAGTGTATGGGCGAGTAGTATTTTCAGAGACGGTAATAGCGCCAGCACTTACCATGGGAGTATTTGTGGGTTGTTGGTCGAGTCGGCGGCGAGAGAAATGTTGGAGCTCATGCTTGTCTTCGTCAAATTTCAAGCCCTGCTCTATGCCCCATTCCATGGCTTCCTGGAGGCTGAGTGAAAGAGATTCGGAATTTTCCTGGAGGGATGGAGAGGTGTGAAGGAAGGCGATATCGTCTGCGTATCCAAATCTTGTTTTGGCGGTTCCCATGTGGAGAAGAGGTGCAAGATATAGCATGAACAGAATAGGTGATGCTGGCGAGCCTTGTGGGAGGCCACAGGAGACATCAAATTCGGGACCGGTAGAGCCATCTAGACGAATCTTGGCCACGCGATTGGAGGCGAAAGAGGCCACTCACTTTACCAAATTATCAGGCCATCCTTGGTCCCTAAGTCGATGGACTAGTCGTCATTAATACAATAGATTTTCCAAGCATCTGTGGGCAGCCTGGTGGAAGAACCCATAATCACGTGAGAATAAATAATGCGGACATTGGCCGGACTATGGTGAAGCCGCGGCTGAGCCTATATTAAGCTCGCAGCTCTTACAGATTTCAGTGATTATCTGTCTTCCTACCTACGTATCGCAGCCTGATCTACAAATATAACTAGTTAAAGACCCGTTTCATCCTCAGATCAGTCGTAGCATTCATCGAGACTACAAATTGTCTGTTTGACTCGTTCAAAGGAAGGAGTATTGCTCGTACGCCATAGATGGCGGCGCGTCATTCTTCGATCTCGAGTGTAGGTCGTACTCGGGCGGAAATTCTGCTCTGGTTGCAGCTTAAGGCTGCGACGCTTCTGTGTGATCTGCTTTTGATGCAGCGTTATCCGACGTTTTTAACACGGTCGGAGAAGAATTTCACTGTCCTCCTATCCCGTGGGAGATGAAGGCCGTTTGAGGAATCTCCTGAACAATTTTGACTGAACCGATCATGTCAGTATCCGGCGCAGAGATGGTGAGAAGAGCTTTTTCCCTCCCTTTACTTAACACCTTGCCCATCTCCACGCATCTAGGAGACTTGGTTTGGCCCGGTGTTTGACCGAGAGTCCTCGGGCTGATTCTCATGTTGTCCGACATGGCGTTCGACGCTTTTTACGAACAGGCGACATGATAAAAATGCCGGAAGCTCGATCTAAATTTTCCGAGTAAATGCGACGAGCGTGAGAGGGGGGAGAAGGGAAATAAGGGATTATTCGAAAATTATCGGGAATAGTAGCACCGGTCATATGTCGTAGCTAGATGACTAGAGGGCTGAATACACATTATATGATTTAAAAATAATTAAAATTAAATAGAATCTGTTTGAAGACCATTGATATTTAGCTTAACCCCAGAATATCGATAGTCAATCGAGCTAGATGCAAAAGGTGTTAATTTATTGTAATTGATAAACAGACAAAATTTCCTGTTTTTCATTATAGGTGAGAAGAGATTCCGCATGAAGTCAATGGCGTATGTAATTTGAGATCTTCTCGGGGCTGGCCCAGTGGATTTTATATTAACGCAACCTGTTGCAACAAGAACATAGGTAAATCTAGTCAATATTCACGCGTTTTATCGAGATCTTAAGAACATCAATTTATGGTAGGACTTCATAGCTCGCTGGTTACATTCGAAAACTCACTCTTTTCTAACTTAGTTTTCCAGAAAATTGGGTTAGTGTCGCTGAACCCATGTTTAACCCATCCCTCTTCTTTGATGTGGTAAAGGTTGATAAAACCACCAGAGTATGCATCTCTGTGGGTGGCCGCCAAGATACTTCTACTTCCTAATGCTAAAGCTTCTTCCTCTGTCATGTCGTAGCGATATTCGGCATCTAAGACACCGTAGGCAAAGGTCTGACCAGAGCCAACACAAAAGAGATTTCCACTCAAGCGCGTTCCATCAGAATCAATATAATAAAGTGCGGGTCCTTCAGATGGGGTTACACCAGCGCACATAGTACCCAATGAAAGACCCATTCCTTTGTAGGAGTAAACAAGATTAGCTAGGATTTTTGAAGCTGCTGCTACTGAAATTCGGCGTTTATGTCGTAATTCATGGAGTCGGCATTGCATACCGAGGTATGCAAGCCAATACTGACAATCCTGCAATATAATCGTTAGTCAGAAGGTCACAGTTACCAAAAGATAGCATTTTTTTAATTTTTGTGGGAGACAAACCGCAGCACCACCAGCCATTGTACCCAGGAGACAATTATTGATTTCAATTACTTTCTTTACAGTCTGACTTGCAATCCAGCTACCTGCTGTAGCTCTTGAATCGGTTGCGATAATTATTCCTCCTTTAAATTTAAACCCGAGCGTTGTCGTACCATGAGCAATTTTAATGGGGCAGTTAGGGTTGGCATGGTCATCCGTCATGGCGCGTAGCCATGCTGAAGGCTAAGAGACCAGAAATGTTAGCGTTCCAGTATGGAGTAGAGCTTCACAACCAAAGAAACCATAAAAGTGTTTGAGTCCAAGAAAGATGCATACTTGAGCTATAGGTGGCATAGCAAACTTGAGTGACAAACATGGAGTCGACTGGTACAAATGCGTCTGGTCTTCTTCTGAGTAACTTTCTTCCTCAAACATCGGCCGGCTATGCTTTGCCACAATAGTGTTCATCTTGGCTGGCCTCAGTTAGAAGTTGATACGGACAGTGATTTTTTTGCTGTTATGGAGAGTCGTATTGAACCCTCTGTCGGAAGCCTAACTATGACATGAGCTACAAGCTGACTAATACTCAACCCATGCTACTTCACTATAGCATTGAGAGACTTATGTAATAGAGCGTTAGGGTTGGGTTGGAGACCAATGACTAATACAAAATAAGGTCCCTAAGTCGACATATTTCCAAAAGAATAAATTGAGCCGTATAGAAAGCCAAAAACAACCCAAGAGATCAACACGATTTTTGATTTTGATTGAATTTAACGTCGTGCCTATCTACAGCTCGTGACTACTGTCACGGACTAGACGGCCCAGTCCCTACAGAACTACCCGACGCAGGGCATCTCTCACTTTGTCTACGAAATCAGGGCTGGCCACCTAACGTGGTCCTCTGGGTAATCTCCTTCATGGAACAACGAGAGGCTAGAATACACCTAGATGGGTTCTCATCTTCATCGTTCGAGATCCTCTGTGGCCTACCCCAAGGCTCTCCTGTCTCTCCTATTCTCTTTCTCCTGGCAAGCGAAGGAGTGCTTCGACTGTCGCGCGGCCGATTTGGGTACGCAGATGATATCTCTCATTTCTCTACCGCGACCTCTCTAACATCGTGTGATGGCCTCCTCCAGACTCAGCTTAACAAAACCCTCTCCTGGGGGCGGGAAAACGGGTTCACTTTTGATACTTCGAAGACGGAGCTCCAGTACTTTCACCGGAAACGTGGCAATGTTGTAGAGCCAACACTTTACATGGGTGAAACTGAGATACTGCCCAACAACTACACCCGCTGGCTCGGAGTATACTTCGATCGTGGTCTACGCTTCCGATATCATGTTAGTGAGACCTGTAGAAAGTCCCTAGCTATCACAAGCCATCTTAGACGACTCTCGTGCACCACCCGCGGTTTCAGCCCCCCACTTCTCAGGCAAGTTATTCAAGGAACAGCTTTCGCTATCCTCTTCTTTGGGGCCGAGACATGGTATTCCAAAAGTAACTCACAGGACATAATAAGGCGTGTTCAGTGCAGAATTAATGATGCTGCTAGAGCCGTCCTTCCTGTCTACCGAACGACTTCGACTCCTGCCCTTCTTCGAGAGACCGGATGGGGGACGGCTAGCTCATGGCTAGAAGGGATACACGACCGCCTCACAGTGCGAGTCGCGTCAGCAGACCCACGTCATCCTCTACGGCGGCGCTGGACTTCCTCCCGAATGTTATAGATCCGACAAAGAACATCTCCCGAACTATCAACTGATACAGTACCACCCCCATGGAATACCAGTCGAGAGTTACTTGTACAAAATATCGGGGCCATAGACAGAAAAAATGGCCGGAAAAAATTCATGAGATGGCAAGCATCTCAACCCCCTTTGGATCTATTCGTCTTCTCTGACGGTGCCCTTTCAGAGGGTAGAGCCGGGTCCGGATATGTTATCTATCGGGGCCTCACACAGATAGTTGGGCAGAGGACCCTTCCTCTCGGAGAATCTGCCGAAGTGTACGATGCAGAAATAGCCGGGGACACTTAGGGCCTAGGTGCCGCCCTCCATAATCCGATGGCTCGATACGCCACAAATATTACGGTTTGCCTAGATAATCAGGAAGCCGCCCTTCGTCTTCTTGCAGATACTCCTTCCCTTAGCAGCTCCTCTCGTATCGCTTACTTTCGATACCTTGCTACTAAATGGACAGAGAGAGATCGTAGCCACTTTTCTGAACCGGGTGTAGTCAGGGTGCGATGGTGTCCAGGACATGTCGGCATATCGGGCAATGAAGCTGCTGATGCACTTGCTAAACAAGCATGCGCAACCCTTTCGCTCCTCCTATCTCCAACAATCTCACGAGCAAAGAGAGACATACTCTCTCGATACAAAGCCTCTGTATTCCTGTACTGGTCTCAAAACGCTCCTGAACGATACCAAAAACTGGGAATTAACGCCAATATTGGGAGCTCTCCCGAACTCAAGAGCCTTAACCGCTACGCTCTTGGTCGCCTTCTTGCAGCTCGCTCAGGCCATGGAGACTTAGCTGACTACCACCGCCGCTTTCAGCACTCGGACGCTCTTCTAATCTGCGCTTGCGGGCTAGAAAAGTCTCCCGAGCACTTCTTCTTTTGTCGACTCAATCGGAGTCGGTCCCGCCTTTGCAGCGGAAATAAACACCCAACGACGGGAATTCGCTGGATCCTAAGCTCACCCAAAGGAGCCATAGCTTTAAGTAAATGGCTTCATGAAACGAGCTTTTTTGAAGCATGCAATAACAAGACTAATTAGTACCCCAAATTATATGCACTTGGCCTGTATTTGCTAGAGCTAAATTTAGAAGACTTCTGGTCTAGGTGATGGATAACTTTTCTTTTCATATATATAACTATCTTCTCTACTGTATTAGAATACAAAAGTCTCAGCTCGAGAGTACCTTTGACTTCTTTCGATAGTTCGGGGTGCATGGCAGGTAGGCCTTGGCCCATTTATAACATGTCGGGCTTATTTAAAGGTATCGGCACGTTGGGTAGTTTATGTAGACTGAGCTGGCCAACATGAGACCTTAAGGTTGTGTCTTGAGCTAGCACGACGTTAAATAATTAAAAAAAAAAGAACTACCCGACGCTCTAGCGCGCACCACAACACCTAGAAATTACAAAAGAGTCCGACCAGCTGTCCGACCAGCTGTCCGCCCATCTAGAAATTACAAAAGAGTCTGACCAGCTGTCCGCCAGGTCCGCCAGAGTGTATTTCAACGCGCTCTTGAATCATCGCATTCTACCTACGACATTTTGCCACATATCTCTCAATCACTCATGACGCCCCAGTCCTCCGCAGAGGCTGGCCCTTGGCCCCCCTCCCACCCGTAAATTCGACGCGTCCTGACGTCGAAATGGTCCTTCACGGGCCACAACCGCCATCACAACCACCCACACAACAAGTTGTAGAGCCAATCTATGAGGCGAGTCATCCAAACTCACCCAACTTCCCAACTCCGTCGCCTCAAATTGTCGCGACCGAATTCCTCGCCGAACAGGGCAGGATATTCCAGGCGCGCTCTGCACAAGCCGAGCGCTTTTTCATCGGGTTCTGCAAGCTGCTGGAACCAGTCACTGACGAAAGACTTCGAAAACTCTTTGACCAGGACTTACAGGCCCTTCAGGGCAAGATCTTGGAAATTCTGTGGGGCAACCCATCTCAAGCAGACGCCTACGCTCCTGCAAAAGCTGCAAGTGGCCATACTAACCCATCTAATCCGGCTTAAGTTACAGAGCCTCCAAAACAAAGTCCTGCAAGCGTCACACGTACAGTGCTGATCCTTGCCAGAGAAAAGAACAGACCGGCACCATCAAAGCCGTCTGCCACAACAGTAACTCCCCAGCCTAACCAGGGCTCGAACACAACTAACAAAAAAAACACAGAGAAATATTGGACCGAGGTGTTGGCAAAAAGAAATAAGCCAGCAAACCAAGCGGCTCCAACGTCCACACCCAAGACAGTACTGATGAGGCCCGTCCCTACGCTGAAGTCTAAAGCTCCAGCGACAAGCCCCCAACGATCTGACGAGCGCATATTCTTGCGCCTCAGACCTGACCACCCGTGGAGACGTATGTCACCCCACTTCGTTAAAATAAGCCTAGCTAGCAAGCTGCGTCTGGCCAACTCGACAATCAAGCAGGTCACTGTCGTGAACTCAGAGTTCGCAATACAAGCCGAAGGGGAAGTTGTAAGAGGTGCACTTCTCTCAGGAGGAGCCATATTAGATAGCTCAGAAATGAAATTGGAAGCCGCCTCCAACTGGATATCAGTCCTGGCACCGAATATTCCAGACAAGCTTTACACTCTAGAAGGGCCCAACATAGTGACACCAGAAATGGTAATTGAAGAAGCGGCTCTCAAAACAGGAGTTAGACCAACCTCGGCTCGTGCTTTCGCAACTAGCATGGCCAGGCTGTCAACGGACTGGGTGTTGCACTTCGCAACCAGAAAACCGAGGCTTGGAGAAAGACTGTTCGAAGAAATCGGACGCCTCCACTAACTTCAGCGCAAGCTCAAAATTGCGCTATGCAACTGATGCTGGGGACACCACCCAACTAAGATCTGTTCACGAGCAGAGCGCTGCTCCCGCTGCGGCTCTACTGAGCATCAAGCTACTGAGTGCAAACAGGCCGTACCAAGGTGCATCAATTGCCACGGGCCACATGCTGCAACTGAGCCTAACTGTATGGCTAGGCCGACACGGGCTAGTGGGAAGAGGGTGCAACGCACAAGGGACCAGCTGTCGGTGATCTGCGAGCAGGGTCAAAAAGAAAGGAATGCTTCGATCAGAGAGATGGAAGCAAAGCAGAAAGCCACCGAGGCTACTGCTGAAAACGAAAATACAAACGTTGCTCAATGCCCGTAAGGGACCACAACCCAACCGAGCTTCAAAAAACGGCAACAACAATCTCGTTCCTCTGCGCTAATCTGGGCAGAGGAGACCCCGCTACAGACATCATCCTGCAATCCGCCTGGGATTCAGGAATTGATGTCCTACTCATCCAGGAACCCTGAACTCAATACAATGACGGCTTCTGGCTCACCAAGTCGCATCCCGGATTCGATAGGCATTTGCCTCCCCATGCCGCTGCCAACTCTTCGAGGCCACGCTCCCTCATCTACACGCGAAAAGTGATGAAGTGTCAACAGCAAGCAATCTGCGAGACATCACCAGATCTCACTGCAGTAAATGTAGAAGGAGTCACATTTGTCTCCGTATACCGCGCTCCTGGAGCAGACCTTTTGCCGCTGCTATCATGGGCTCCATCTGGGCCTACAGTTATTGGCGGAGACTTCAATGCTGTTCACACCGACTGGCAGCCAATGGCTACTAGGCTACACGGTGACGGCCAGGTGCTTACCGAGTGGATGTTCGAGCACGGCATGGACCTATCTTCCACACCGGGCGTCCCGACACACGACTTTGGAAACACA